TCACTGCAAGCTCCACCTCCCAGGTTCACGCCATTCTCTGGCCTCAGCCTCCTGAGTAACTGGGACAGGCACCTGCCACCACACCTGGCTAATTTTTTGTATTTTTAGTAAATACAGGGTTTCAGCATGTTAGCCAGGGAGGTTTTGATCTCCTGACCTCATGATCCGCCCGCCTCGGCCTCCCAAAGTACTGGGATTACAGGCGTGAGCCACCGTGCCTGACCATATTTTATTTATATAAAATAGCCAGAATGGGCAAATTCAGAGACAGAAAGTTTATTACTGCTTTTCAAGAGCTGAGGAGGAGAGGAATGGGGAATGATTGCTAACAGGAACAGAGGGTTTTTTTTTAGGGTGATAAAAATATTCTGAAATTAGATCGTGGTACAGGTTTTACAACTCTGTGAAACTCTGTACACTGAATTGTGTACTTTAAAAAGTTAAATTTCATGGTTTGTGAATTATATCTCAATTTTAAAATACACTGAAGAAGTAGGAGCAAGTAGAGTGTATCCCAGGAATGCAAGGTTGGTTTAACAATCAAAAATCAGTTACTGTAATTCATCATAATAATGGAATAAAGAAGAAAAACTATAAAATTATATCAGTACACTCAGAAAAGACCTTTGTTATTTTGTTAAATGACAAAATTCAGTACATATTCAGGATTAAGGCTCCCAACACATTAGAAATAAAATGGAATTTCCTTAACCTGACAAAAGAGCACCTACAAAAAAACCCTACAGCTTACATTATATTTAGTGATAAGAGACTGAATGCTTATCTCTTAAGATCAGGAACAAGGCAAGGATGTGTATTCTCAAAAACCTTCATTCAACATTAAACTCTGCAAAAGGGCAAGTATGTCTGGGTGCAGTAGCTTATACCTGTAATCTCAGCACTTTGGGAGGCCAAGGTGGAGGGTGACTTGAAGCCAGGAGTTCAAGACCAGCCTGGGCAACACAGAGAGACTACATCTTTACAAAACATTATTTAAAAAATTAGCTGGGCGTAGTGGCAGGCACCTGTAGTCCTAGCTACTCTGGAGGCTGAGGTAAGAGGATCACTTGAGCCTGGGAGCTTGAGGCTGCAGTGAGCTATAATTCCACCACTGTGCTCCAGTGCCCAGGGAACACAGTGAGAACTTGTCATACACACCAAAAAAAGAGGCAGATAGGTCGGAAAGGAAAAAGAAAAGCTGTCTTTACTCACAAACAACATAATTATCTAAGAAAATCCTAAGGAATCTACATAAAAGCAACTCTAACATAAATATTGCAAGGTTGCAAGAAGTCCCCCCAAAAGTGAAAGCATATGTCCCCCAAGAGACTCGACATGAATATTCACAGTCATTTTATTCAGAACAATCAAAACCCAGAAACAATGCCGTTGCCCAGCAACAGGTGAACAGATAACAAATTGCCCTTGGAGGAGGCATCTTTGGGCCTTGTAGCTGTAGAATCTTTACCCTGTGGAGCAGGAGAGGGTGGAGATGCAGGTGTGGGAAAGGTAGGAGATACTAACTCTGGCCTGGAGATGTCCAGCTGAAGAACAGAGAACACTTGATTGGGAGGTAGAGACTTGAGTTGCTCAGCAAAGGAGGAATAAAGGTAACAGGGCTGTGAGATTTGGGAGCAGTAACAGAGAAAGCCTCAGAAGGGAAGGGGTAGAGAGGCACAGAAGCCATGAGAAGGGTGACTTTTGAGGGAAAACTGTAGAAAGAGGATTTTTTTTTTTTTTTTTTTGAGACAGAGTTTCACTCTTGTTGTCCGGGCTGGAGTACAATGGCGCCATCTCAGCTCACTGAAACCTCTGCCTCCCAGGTTCAAGTGATTCCCCTGCCTCAGTCTCCCTAGCAGCTGGGATTACAGGTGCCAGCTGCCATGCCCGGCTAAATTTTGTATTTTTAATAGAGATGGGGTTCCACCATGTTGGCCAGGTTGGGCTTGAACACCTGACCTCAGGTGATCCACCCACCTCAGCTTCCTGAAGTGCTGGGATTACAGGCATGAGCCAAGGCACCTGTCCAGAAAAAGAATTTTTATAGAAAGTTGGTATGTGATGTTATTCTCTTTTTTCCTTTTCTTTTCTTTTTTTTTTTTTTTTTGAGACAGGGTCTCTCTTGTTACCCAGATAAGAGAGAGTGCAGCAGCTTGATAATGACTCACTTCAGCCTTCATCTCCCAGGCTCAAGCAATCCTTCCACCTCAGCCTCCAGAGTAACTGGAGTGGTGGTGGTGCACCACCACACCCAGCTATTTTTAAAAAAATTTTTTAGAGGTGGTCTTGAACGCCTAAGCTCAAGTGATCCTCCTGACTCAGCCTCACAAAGTGCTGGGATCATAGGTGTGCACCACCCCAACTGGCCTTATTCTCCTTTTTCAATGTTTCTATTGGATGAGACTCTATACTTGGATAAGTCCAGTTTTATATGGGTTATATAAAATAAATATAACGGCAGTAATAGCTAATAGCTAATATGCTTACTAGGCACTAATCATTGCACTAAGCAATTTAAATATATTCAATGGTATGAGGTGGCACCATTATATAGATGAGGAAACTGAGGCACAGAGTTTTAAGTGATTGTCCAAGATCACATGGTTATGAAGTGACAGAGCCAGAACATTTGATTTCATATTGAAACCCAAAGCTAAGAAGCTGTTTTCCTGTTCCTGCTTTCTTCCTTGACCATGCCTCTCTCTGTATGCTGTCAGGGTTGGGTAAGGGAAGGATGCTGAAAAGTCATTTGGTTCAGGCCTCACATTTTCAAAGCACTTAACTCCAGTGAGGCCATATATCCAGACTGAGATATTTAGCCGGGCCTGAGAGATGAGGCGATTTACCCAGCTTTTGAGTTACTTCCCATTTCTGGATGCTACCACCTCCAGAGACCCAGGAATTAAATACTCATATAAATTCCATCATTTTCTGGTTGTAGTATAAGTACATTACTTTTAAAACATACCATATTTTTTGTTAATCTTATTTTGATATATCTTCATCTTTAACCTGATGGGAAACTGAAAAATGGAGTGGCCTCTCTTTCAACCTTTGAGAGGCCTCACTCCCTTTCCTACTGTCTGAAAGGTGCAGGAGGAGGAGGCCCTGCAGGAAGCAGCTCTGATGCCCACTCTGGCTGCTGCCAGTGGCTGGCTGGATGTGCTATCAGCATGGCCATACCCACAGGTTGAAGTAGGTCAACAATCGGGGGACTCAGAAGCTGCATGGAGCAAAGTGCATCTATCCGGAAATTTCTGAGCTTCAAGGGAGTTTATAAGGAAGCCACCAGGCCCAGACTGACCAAGAGAACAGGAGCTTTGGATGCAGCATGTTTTTTAACCCAGTGGTTCTCACCTGGGGTGATTGAGCATCTCCTCCCGTAGGACATCTGGTAATTCTAGAGACTTTTTTTTAATTTTCACAACTGGGGGTTCTACTAGCATCTAGTGGGTGGAGACCAGAGAAGCTGCTAAACATCTTAAAATGCACAGGATGGCCCGCCGCAACAAAGAATTATCCGCCCAAAATATCAAGAGTGCCACAGTTGAGGAAACGGGTTCTAACCCTCTGGGGCTGGCCTTATGAAGGGCAGCCACACCCCTCCTAAGACGCTTCCTCCAAGGCTGTAAAGCCGGAGAGTGATGGACTGCAGGCCACTCCACCACGGGATTTCCCCTTCATCACCTGGCCACCCACTCTGGCACCCTTACTGGAGGGCTCCGCCCTCAGGTAAATGTTTTCCCTACTTGTTTGGGAAACTTTGAGAAAAATCCCCTTTAGCCATCTTCTGAGCAGTGAAGATGTACCATATGTGCTTTTTCCACCAAAAAAACATTAAAGCGGCTAGGGGATTTTTATTATTTTAGCTCAAATAACAAAATAGTGGCGGCCAACTCTTTTAAAGGCGACTGTCAGCGGGGCGCTCAGATGGAACTCAGAAAAAAAAGAGAGTGAGTTTAGTATCAGTGGATCAGGGGAGTGGGGATAACCTGGGAATCCTGGTCTGGTGGGGCAGGCGACACAGACACAAGGCCTCCCCCCACCCCCAGCCTCGAGCCCCCTCTGCGCGGGGCCCCTGGGGGCCTGGGGACATTTGCATGTACTCTCAGGAGATTCTCCTTTCTTCTCCCTGGGTTTCATCTTTAATAACTAGATGATGGGCTGTTGGGGAATGCAGGGCCAGCGCTCTAGGAAAGTGAAACTGCCTTGCAGAGGGAAAGCAACGCACTGTGGCCCCGAAAGACCCAGACCGCCAGCGGCCCGGGCAGCCGCCGAGGGCACCGGCTCACACTTCCTGCCTCTCATAAGCTCTTGCTTGGCATGCATTGGTGACTTGAACTGGGGGTTAACCCAAAAAGATCAAGTGCGAGCTCAAGGCGGATGATGAGAACAGATTCCGGGCTGGTTAACCTCAGAAAGCGGGAGTCCGTTGGTGCTAATGAGGCCAAGGGAGCCCGGCTCCTTTCTGCCCCCAGGCAGGTGAGAAAGAACGAACGGAGACGAAAGAGGGCCCGCTGTGTCTGCCCCTCTTGGCCCGGAAGCCCAGCTCGACCCTGAGGCCACAAACTGCCCCCTACTGGAGAAATGGCTGCAGGATTTCTCCTCCATCAAATCGCTGTGTCAGAGCCAGTTGGGGGCTTTTAAAAGACACCCATGCTCAGGCCCCCACCAGGCCACCTACATTGAAATATCTGAGGCTAAGTCCCAAGCTAGAATTTCCTTCCTTCTTTCTGGCCTTGGGAGATTTTGCACCTCCTTCCAGGGAAGGAAGCCTGACTTCTGAAATGATTCTCACGAAAGAGAAGTGCTCCGTTCTGCAGTGAGCCAGACCAGGGGGGCCACACCACGGACTCCCAGGAGGCTTCTGCCTGCGTGGCTCTTCTGCTCTCGTTTCCTTAACGATTGGGCCAGAGCATCTCTGCTCTTGTGAAATATCAGGCAATTAGATTTCGAAGTCTTTGAAGAGGGCAGATTCACCAGGCGTTGGGCTGAAGTTTCTATTTGTCCTGGCACTGGGAATAGCAAAGGAACAGGGGGACTGAACTGGTAAGACTATAGCAGGTTTGTTGCACTTTTAAAAAACGTGTTTTCAATTACCTTAAGAACCCATTTATGTGCAGTATATCCTGCTACTGATTTTGAACAAGGATGATCCAATAGGCAGTGGTATTAAAACGCTGAAATAGAGGTTGACAAGTAGCTGCTTCCCTAAATCCTTGGAGTTTCCTCCTTTGGCACCACCCCTCTTCCCACCTCCCCAGGATCCAGCAACTAAAAGGTTATTCCCTTGGCACAGCAAGGGGTAGGGGCTGTGCTGAATGGTGGGAACCCATGCTACATGGGTTGTCAGCTGGGTCACCCCTAATTAGAAATCACTTCAGTCTACTCATGAAAGCAGCTTGCTACAGGACTCTGCCGGCCGTATTTAGTTAAAGCAGTATAAGGTTTTTGTTTTTGTTTTTGTTTTTTTTAAGTTAAAAACTCATGTTGTGTTGCCTGTGTACCAGAGACTATTCTAAGAACTTTACAAACCTTAACTCATTTGATCCTTGTAACGACCCTGTGATATTGGTGATATCCTCCCGTTTTCTAGGTTTGGAAAGAGGCACAGAGAGGTGAAGTTTCTTGCTGATATCTTCTAGACCGCGCTGGCTGCAGGGTCTGTTGCTCCCAACCAGAGGAAATAGAACCATGAAAGAACAAGGTAGGGTTTTCTTCCTTCTGCCAAACTGAGATTCACAAAGTGGACTCTAGCGTTCTTCCTCTCTGCCATTCCCTGCCACCAAATTTACACCTGGGGAAACAGTGGCTCAGAGAGGAAAGGAGACCTTCCTACAATCTGAGAGTCAGTTGGGGGCAAAGCCAGGACCAGAATGCTGCCTCTCAACTCCCCCTCGACCTCATATCAGATTGCTTACATCCAGCTAAATGTCTCCCCAGAAATCAGTTGGGGAATATGATGATTTTAAGTCCATACATTCTTTGTTTAATACTCCTCCCTCCAAAAGGTAGAGACTCATTTGCCTCCCCTCAAGTGTGGGCTGTACTCAGTGCCTCCCTTCTACTTTTTTTTTAATTTGTTTTTAAGTTAGGGTCTCGCTCTGTCACCCAGACTGGAGTGCAGTGGCTCACTCTCAAATCACTGCAACCTCCACCTCCTGGGCTTAAGCGATTCTTCCACCTCAGCTCTGCCCAGCTAATTTTTTGTAGAGACAAGGTCTCACCATGTTGCCCAGGCTGGTCTCGAACTCTTGGACTCAAGCAATCCTCCTGCCTCCGGCCTCCCACGGTGCTAGAATTACAGGCATGAGCCATGCCACCCGCCCCTGCCTCCTTTTTAACGAGTAGAACAAAGATGGAGGACTAGGTCATAAAAGGCACTGCAACTCCTTTCTCTCTCTCTCTCTCTCTCTCTCTCTCTCTCTCTCTCTCTCTCTCTCTCTCTCTCTCTCTCTCTCTCTCTCTCTCTCTCTCTCTCTCTTTCTCTTTCTTTCTTTCTCTGTCTCTTGTTGTTCACTCTCCAGGAAGCCAGTTGCCATGTTATGGGGAGGACACTCAGGCAGCCCCGTGGGGAGACTTGTGTGGGGAGGAACTGAGATGTCTCACCAACAGCCGTATGAGGGAGCCATCTTAGAAATGAATCTTCCAGCCTCAATCAAGTCTTCAGATGACCAGAGCCTCAGCTGATAACTTGGCTGCAGCCTCATGAGAGGCCCTGAGCCAGAACCACTCAGCCAAGATGTTCCTAGATTCCTGCCTCTCAAAAACTGTGTGAGATAAATAGATGTTTATTGTTTAAAGTTGTTTAAGGTAATTCATTGTGTAGCGATAGATAACTAAAACAGGAGGCTCTACATTTACTCTTTTTTTTTTCTTGGAGACAGAGTCTTGCTCTGTCACCCAGGCTGGAGTGCAGTGGGGCAATTTCGGCTCACTGCAACCTCCGCCTCCCTGGTTCAAGCAATTCTCATGCCTCAGCTTCCCAAGTAGCTGGGACTACAGGAGTGCGCCACCAAGCCCAGCTAATTATTTTGTACTTTATAGTAGAGACAGGGTTTCACCATGTTGGCCAGGCTGGTCTCAAAGTCCTGACCTCAAGTGATCTGCTTGCCTCGGCTTCCCAAAGCCCTAGGATTACAGGCGTGAGCCGACACACCCAGCCTACCTTTACTCTTAAAATATCATAAATGCTCAGAGTCTTTTGAGGAGTCTTTTATCCCAAAGTAATCCAACTATATTTCTTTTAAAAATTTAGGGCAATTCAGGCATTTTAATACATGTGACCCTACCCCTCCCACATTCCCCCACCCTTCATTATTTCAAACTGGAGAGGTCTTTTGAATTTTTTTCCTGAACATGTTTCTAGAAAGTTTATACCAAGTAAAACAGCTATATCCAAGTTCCTAGTAATTATTACAGCAATTACAAGAGTTCCAAGCATAATAAAGTAATCTAAGGGCAGGATGTTTGGAGGTATGGTTATTTCTTGGCGTTCTTCTAATGAGAGCCTGGAGCTGAGTAGCATCTTGGCAGCTGTTTACTGTTTGAATACGTTAGACTGCTCCCGACTCTGTCACTTGCTAGCTGTGTGACCTTGGGCAAATGATCAAACTCTCTGTGCCTTAATTGCATATAAATTTTAGAATCTAATTATAATACCTGCTCTGTGGAATCCTGGGGAAGACTAAAATGAGAGGTGGTAGAGCATGGTGCTTATGAGCATTGAACCAAATTGCCTGGAGTCCTAGCTCCAGTGACTTTTCTAGCTGTATAATCTTGGGAATGTTACCTAATCTCCTTGTGCCTCAATATTCTACATACATAAAATGAGGTGAGATGGGGAAATGGTGCCTACCTCCTATGACTGTCATGAGAATTAAATGGACCCAATTCATATACTATTCCTGGTACACAGTAAGTAACATATGGCAAGGATGCTAGGTATAGTTGTGCAGGTTGTTCACTGTTCAAGGGCTCTGACCTGAGAGGTCAAGTGAGGGCTTGCCAGGCCATACACTTTGGTATGAGGTTGCCTCCTAGAGGTGGCACTGTTTTCTAATTTGTACCAGGCCCTATGTGAGCCAGTTGTCAGCATAAAGGTTTGTAGTATCCAGCAGCCACTACCTTAGCACTATCTTTAGGCTTTAGGCTGACGTTCACTGAGCACATGCCGGTTTTATTATAACTATTACTTGGTAGCTTCCTAGAGTTCTCCAGGATAACTTCAGTGGGATGCCTATATCCCAAACCTTGCCATTACCATTCAGATACTATGCTGAAAATCAAATAAAAAATATTAGCAAGGTAAAAAGTTTAAAATCCTGCAGGACAGTATTATATATTGCTTAGGCATAGATATAGATGTGGTTCAAGTATAGAAAAATGCATAAGAATGATAAACCCCACATCTGGATAATGGGTTACCTGGGTTGGGGAGGAAGTGGAATTAGGAAGGAATGAAGGAAGCTTCGGCTCTTTTCATAATTTATTTCTTACGCTTAATGGTGGCTACATAAGTGTTTATTATTTTTTAATCTTAAATATTTAAAAATAATGTATAATTAGTACTATTAAGTAAGACCCATCTTTCTAGGTAAGAACTAATTTTGCATTTCTCTCCTCATTAGTCTCTGTTCAATATTAAATCAGTACATTGATGGGGAACCAAGCAATCATTCATTCAACAAGTGTTTACTTAGACCACTTGTAGAATTTATAATAACCTGTTTGGTTATTTGACTATATTTTTTTCTTTCTGTGAGGGCAGAGTCTCTGTCTTATTCATATTTATGATTTCTGCCCCATAATAGGTGATAAATAAATGTAATTTAAACTGAATGAAACATAAATATGACTATTATTGTCCTGAAAGAGCTTTTAATACACTAGGGGTGAGAGATGAAATAAGATAATGCAGGTCATAAGTGCCATAAATGAAGAGAAAAAGGAATTCACTGTGCATCCATTCATCTGAAGACCATTTACTAGGCATCTATTAGGCACTGAGCATATGACTATAAACAAGAGAAACACAGACTTTGCTTTTTACGTGGCCCACTTCTCACCACTTTCATCACTGTCTAAGTGGCCTATGCTGCCAGCATCTTTTGTTTGGATGGTTGCAATAATCCAATACTGAAATCCTAACTCATCTCCCTACTTCCACTTTGCTCCCCTATAGTAAAATCTCAACTGTGTCCAGAGAGATGCTCTTAAAACCTAAGTCAGAGCATGTCACTCCTCTGCTTTTCCAACTCCAATGGCTTCTCATCTGTAGGAGATTGCAGAATTGCCACAATTCTTTAAATTTTTCGTGTCAAGAAATGAAGTCTGTTTCTCAGCTCATTGAGTCTGAGCTGGCCTTGTGACTTTCCTTGGCCAATAGGATGTGGCAGGTTCTGAGTTCTGTGCTAGCTCTGAGCCTGGGTTCCATGGGGCTTCGAATGCTTCTGCTCCTACTCTTGGAATCCTGCCACTGTCAAATAGACATGCTCCAACCAGCCTGTTGGGGGATGAGAGACTATGTGGAGGAGAAATGCCCAAGGCAAGACCAAGCCAGACCAGTCAATTATCAGCCAACCTACCAGCTGTCTGAGGACACATGACAGAGCCTAGCGCCTAGCTGAGATCAGCCTAGCCCAGCCTATCCCCAAAGAACCTTTCAGATGACCCACAGACTCAAGAGCTAAATAAATGGCTTGAGTCATCGAAGTTTCTGGTAGTTTGTTGGGTAGTGAACACGATACACTATCGCATTTAGACAAAAAGTCAAACTTCTTTTTATTAACTGTATCCCCAGTACTTAGTGCCTGGCACATCGTAGATGCACCATGAACGTTTGTTGAATGTATTAATAGAGGTATAAGTGGTTTTAACATTCCATTGAGGGAAACAGGAAAAAGATAAATCAGTAAACTAATAAAATAAGTATAAAATTGGGTAAGTACTATGGGAGAACTGAACAGTAGCTGAGGTAGAGGACAAGAATGAAGGTAGAAGGGAGACCCTCCATGGGCTCACCGTGTCTTTCAGAATGAAAGCTAAAATCCTGATGGTAATCTCTAAGGCCCTCCCTGACCGGGCCATTACCTCACTGACCTCATCTGCTGCCACTTTTGCTGCCTCTGGGATCCAACTACCTGGCCCCCCTGCTGTTTTCCCACTACTCCAAGCACACTTCCACCTCAGGTCCTGGAATGTTCTTCCCTGAGACACTCACACCATTCACTCCCTTTCTTCCTTCGAATCTCTGCCCAGGTATCCTCTCTTTGGGCAAGGCCCCTCTGGCCACCCAGAATTCCCTAACCTCCAACCCTGCTTTATTTTCCTCCATAGGAAAGGAATTTTGTCTTGCTTAATTTAACCTTAGGACAATATTGTCTTAGCCTAGAAATTCAGCTCATGGATACAAAAATCCTCTAGGAGCCATAACTTCCTGTCAATCCTAAAATTTAATAAGGCAAATGTTTGGCTTCGAGCCATACTGGGAATAAGGTAAGGCCTTTTGAAGAAGCCACGATGCTCAGGTGAGGGTTGAATTGCTCACTGAGAACTCTACGGATACACTCATGGCAAAGCTGGGAATACCCACCTACACTTATCCTCTCGGTCATATACTTCAAAGTCTGCTGGGGCATTGTAATCCATATTGTCATTTGCTTTGTGTCACCTTCCTAAGAGGTAGGCAGGGCAGGTTTTACCATCCTCTGTTTACAGATGAAGATAATGAAGGTCACAGAGCTCAACTGGGCCACCCAGGACCACAGACATATGAAGTGGTAGAACTAGAATTTAAATCTTGGTTGGTCTGACTCCAAGTGTAGTATTTGTTTAACTTTTTTTTTTTTTTTTTTTTTACTGTTTCTCCATTCTGGGTTCTGACCTGGTGACCTTGAATCATAAAGATGCAGGGCCTGTCTCGAGCTGCTCTATATGGAAGGCATCTTTTCTCTAAAGAGTGTGAGCTCCCTGCCAAACAGCAGAGGCGCTTCATGGGCTTTCAGAGCAGCCATTCTAGAGCCTCCTTCATTGCTTTCTGATCTCCCACAGCCCTGTGTTTGAGGGTCAGGAAAGGAGAATACCCTTGGATTGTTTTATCTCCTGACCACCCCGAGGCTGGCTGGACTATAAGAGGTGAGGAAAGACAAGATGGGTGAGCAGCTGCTTTCAGCTGAAAACCAGAAAGAAATCCCAGTCTTTTTGCTTTATTTTGGTTTAAAAATCAAGTCGTGTGACAATGGAAACATTTTCCTGGTTGTCCTCTCCTCTCTGCCCATGTTGACAGAGGACGGACTTGCTAATTCTGGCTGGGGTTTTTCCCTGCCTGGGCTGTTTTTCTCTTTTATCTTCATCAATTGAAGAGGGCTGCTGTGTCTTTCAAACTGTCGGAAGGTATCTGTATTTTTTTTTTCTTTCACATAATTCTGTAGGTCTTTTCCCAGATATGTATTTTTCTCTCTAACTTCTAACTTGCTGAAATTTCCGCCCATGTGACTTCCAGCGTGAGTTACCAGAAACCACAAGAGAGAGAGAGAGCGTGCAAGCCCCAAAGCGAGCGACATGTCCCTTTGGGGAGCAGTCCCTCTGCACCCCAGAGTGAGGAGGACGCAGGGGTCGGAGGTGGCTACAGGGCAGGCAGAGGAGGCACCTGTAGGGGGTGGTGGGCTGGTGGCCCAGGAGAAGTCAGGAAGGGAGCCCAGCTGGTGACAAGAGAGCCCAGAGGTGCCTGGGGCTGAGTGTGAGAGCCCGGAAGATTTCAGCCATGCCTCACAGCTCCGACAGCAGTGACTCCAGCTTCAGCCGCTCTCCTCCCCCTGGCAAACAGGTAGAGTCCTCCTTTTCC